CGGCTAAAGCATCACCCAGACAGACACAGACCCTTTGTTTTTCTCCCTCCTCCCAGCTTTTGAAAGTATCTTGTCTCCTCATTGGTCATTTTGGGTCAGGTGCCAGCGAGGTTATCCTAGCTTCTTAACCCTTTACAGGTGAAAGGATTTTTCCTCTGGCCAGGAGGGATTTTAAAGGTGTTTACCCTTCCCTTTATATTTATGACATAGCCCATGGATGATAAGGAGAGAATAGGTTATGATTATGCCATGGTTGTTAAAGCAGGTTGTATGCAGGGAGGGTAGGTTCTGGTTTCTGTTGCTTTCAGCAACATTGTCACAAGATACCCAAAGAACAATCAAGAGAGCTGTGCCTAATCTCAGCTGAGGCTCTAATTTAGCAAAGTACTTGAGCATTTTAACTGTAAGCATGTGCTAAAATCCCTCTCCGTGCAGTGAAGCACTTAGACACCTCCTGAAGTGAAGGGCTGAATCAGGGCCTGAATTGCTTGGACACATCATTTTATTTCCACTGCAGCATATTCCACAGCTCCCTTTTTCTCTTTTAATTAATTTTATGCTAAAAATGTATTTCAAAGAAAGAATATGATGTTTAGTAATAAAATAATAAGATAAATAATTAATACTAAGAATCAATAAAAGATTGTCAGCCTGGGCTCTTAAATGTGTATTGAACTAAGCTGATGTGATTCTCATAGCCCTACAGCCCCCTTCCAGGAGCCCCTCACTAGCAAGGAAAGAGCAGGACTGAGGGAAGACACGAATGGGGATAGCTTGCAAGGAAGCCAAGCTGTCCCCAGAGACACTCTCTGAAGTGGGGAAAGGAGGGGAGGAAGTGGATTTAAGGACAGAGCCAGTAGGGAGAGGGTGGTTATTTCCCTTGTACTACAACCATAGGGACCCCGCTCCTGTGTAGACTGTGGAACATCTATATAGAGTTTCGAAATTATGGAGAGAGGCAACTAAAAGAATGATGATAATAAATAATAAATAATAATAATAATAATGACATTCAAAGTATATTGTGCAAAAAAACACGCACTTTGTTAGCAGCTGTAAGCATCTAATTACAACCATACAAAATAAACAGTGTTAGCTATATACAACAAAGGAGAAAACTTTAGAGGCTGAAATTCTGATTGCCACAAAGGGAGTTTAGCTGTGAAGGGAACTTTACATAGGACTGGCCTATATTGTGCATAGCTCTCTCCAGTTGCATTAGTCCTTTACTTTCATAAACATCAAATTTATCCCAAAATTAAAAATAAAAATACATTAAAATGCATAATAAATAAAATAATATGCCAGATCCTCAGCTGGTGTCAATGAAAAACATAACTCCTTTGAAGCCATAGGTTAATTTGGGTTGATTATTGGTAACTTCCTACCACAGTCATAATATTGGCAGAATGCCCTCCATCAAAAAGATGTCTCCAGGATGGATGTAGATGATGCTGAGTGGGTTTTTTTAACTTTCATTTTGTTTTAAAGTGATGTTTTGTCCTCTACAGGAAGTTCTGTAGCTGTTGAGAACTTAAATCCTCTCCTTTGAAAATTATTACTGCAGTTATATGTGGGCATATGATGGTTCCAACAGTGTGTGCAGGGGAAAATACTCAAATCAATGTTCCCCCTATGCTGTATGTATCTCTTGAAGCCAGATCCACAAACAGCCTTTAAATCATTTAGTGTGGTCTGGTCTGGATGTAAATGTTGAGGAAGCCAAACAGACTTGTCTTATAGTTTCTGAGAAACTACCACTAGTTCAAAATTATTTATCCTGAAAGCAGGATGACCTCTATTTACGTCAGTGCAGATAGATTCCTGGTTTTGTACTGGAATTTGTAGGAGACATAAGGGATAGATGAAATGGCTCAGGAAAAAAAAAACACTCTGACCTTGAACCATTTGTACAGCACAACTCAGATTTAAATTATTATAAAGTTCAGCAAGGTTCAAATAAATTTTGTTTCTTTCTAGTTTCCGGAAGGGGCTGCAGCCAGAGATGCCAAAATACCACAAAAACTGTGCTCTGATCAGCTGCCTCTGGGAGCAGATACTCCAGAAATCGTGCAGGAGAACCCATTCTTACAAAATTTCTACCTCTTTTTTTTTCAAGGGGTTGAAAGTCTGAATAAACTTTGGTGAGGCATCTCAACCTTTAAAAGCACATCTAAATCGGAACTCCTAACCCTTAGAAGCATCCTTCCCCCAAACCAAATAGTGAGGCTTCTATATAGAAATAAGGGGGGAGGGTTGTATACTTGCACATATACACACTCACATCCGAATATATAAGAAATCTTTCTCTATATGTATATATACACACATACATAAATCATACACATGTGCACACACACCACTATACACACGCACACATCAAGCATTCACATGTAAATACATTCATATACACACAATTGTAACAAGACATAACGTTTCTGGGAAAGCTTTAAGACTTCATTTTTGAAAATAATTCTAACTTTGCAAAAAAAATCACAAATAAGATACATGCCTACTTTAACCAAAGAATGAGCCAAGTGCTATGATCTCATGTGCCAATTATTTGAGTGTGTCAATGTTCTTTCCATTGCATGGTTAAAATTTCACTGATACTTGCTGCAGTACTAAATAGTAATAAAAAATGATTTATTTGGAGTTGTATTGTAAGCATTGTATGAAAAGAGATAACAGGCATGCACCGATTTGTTTACAATAACATTTTCTATAAATCGGAGAGGTGTCTTTATTCTCTGTTTGTTTTTGATTTAGTGCTGCAACAGGGCTCTGTTTACAAAAGGAAATACGAGTCTATTTAGAAAGAACTGCAATATGGGACAGCAGCCAAGGTGAGTTTTGTTTTAAATTAAGGCCTAGCAACCCTGATGTGCTGTGTGCCACTGAGTTAGGGAAAGGTTAGAGACTGAGAGCCAGATCCTTCTGGGTAGTGTGGCTACTTTGAGCTGCATAGCCACTGTATTCTGGCTTGAATACCTATGTGTACAGCTCTGGAAGGATCACCCCTCAACTACCATTGACGTTAATGGGAACTGAAGGTGCTCAGCACTTCTCAGGAAGTGCTCAGAACCTTGAAAGATTGAATCCTAAAAGAACTGAGATGGAATTTCTTTACTTAGAGACTAGTTATAAGTATAGACAGCAAACAACCTATTAGGGCAATGAGAACAAATCTGAATTATATTTAAAACATGCTCAAGGAGATTTCCCTCCATTTAAAGAGGGAAATAATATTAAAGGGGACTGGTAACACAAAAAGTGAAAATAGATCCAGCTGGTTTTTTTCTAGACTCTTATGATTCCATGTTTACTAATGCACCTAGAAATTTGTCTAACAAACCCGTCCCACCAATTCATTTGTGTGTTTCCAGAGAGGAGAATACCCATTGATCTTTGGTTAGGTTCTTATTTGCTCTCCTACCCTGTGGATTGTAGAACCAGTGGCTAGAACTATGGCCTTTATGATCCCAGTTGGTATAGAGGATCTGTTATTATTATCCTTATTTATAATGGGACTAATTTGCTACTTACTCACAAAGTGTTATCTACAGAAATGGCATTTCAGGAGGTGGAATTATAGCTCACTAGAAGCAAGATATCACTTTTAGGAGAACCATTTCTTTTTCTTGTATATATGTTACTCATGGGCCCAATTCTGCTACCCTTATTCATGTTGAGTAGTTCCATACCCCACAGTTCTGTTGAGATCAGTGGGATTTCTCACAGGGTAAAGAACTATCATTGTTAGCAAAGATGGTAACTGGGCCCTCTGTCATTAAATGGAAATTTAAACACACTCCTATATAAAACTAATCTGTAAATTACAGCATAAAATTTGTCAGCAGGAATAATGCAAAGTTACATTTATAGAAAATTGGAAATCAACCTTTGTAAATGGACTGGAATCTTTCAAAAAAGCTTTTAAAATGGCAATAGTGAAAACTGATTGGGAAATTTGTCAACTGCATTACAGTAATGGCACAGTAACAGTAAACTGAGCTAATCTTGGATCACTCACTCTGTTGACAGGCCTTTATTATGGAGTGGTACTAATCTTTCCGTAGGTAGGTAGCTCTCCATTATAAGCTTGATTTTTAACCCCCATCTCAGAGGAGAAAAGAAACTGATCATCCTAAAATTGTGCATGCTGCATCTGACCCAAAGGCCATTTTTCAGGGAAGTTTGATTAAATAAAAACAGATAAAGAGTTTTAAATTATGATATTTTGAAGATTTTGCTGAGATTTACTCTTTAAAAATAATTCTAGTGTTTTCTTTGGCTCATCGTGTCTCCAAAATGGCTTGGTCTAGAAACTCCAGATTTACTTTAGCAGCCTTGTGGAGGCACAGGTATGTGACTAAGCATGTCCTGGCCCCAAATCATCAACTCTCCCAGGAAAACTTCTGAGGGGAGTCTTTGGTGAGAGGACAAGCTCCACAAAGACTTTGTGGTTAGGGCAGAGAGAGAAGAGACACTATATGCTTCAGCAGAGAACTAGAGAATGGCCCTCCTACCGTGTAGCCCCTAGTGTTATTAAGTTCTGCACTGCAACTGACCTGGTTTCCTCTAGGAACTGGAGGACCAAGAACTCTGTTAGTTTAACTTAACTCCACAGATTTCCCCACAACATCCCATTGATGAAGGAGAGGGTGTGTGGAAGGGGCAGCTGGGACCACCCCCAACCCACAGAGGCAACTGAGCCCTCATTCCATGTGCAACAAGGAGATTCACATGTAGGGAATTGCTGGCCCTACTGAAGTCAATGGAAGTTGTGCTATTGACTCGAGTGGGGTCAGGATTTGCATAGATTCATAGGTCTTTGCTGTGAACAGATGTATGGCCCATGATCTGGCATTAAGCGCTGTGAGCTTAATCCTGATTTTCTTTTCTTTGAATGCACTTATTTATTAAAACCATATTGCAAAAGACAGGCCTTTTGTTCCCATACCCCAGTCTTGTGATTTAGAAGATACATTGTTACTTACCTGGGGGTGAGTGTTCATTCATAATAACTAGTGATGCTGGTGTGGGTCTTCTTTTCCTGATCTGTGAAAAAACAGAGGCCCAAGCAGAGCCATTAAAGATACCCACTACCCTACATCCAAAACAAAGTACAAGACGTCAGGAGTCTTATTGAACAATGTAAGTGGCAAAAGCAAGCACACGGAAAACAACTTTAAAAATATTCTCTTCATAACTGTTAATGTAATAATGATCAGAATCAATTCAGGTGCAACATACTGCAGGATCAGTGTCATTGGGTGGGATTTTCAAAAACCCCAGTGTTTTTTAGGAGTACAAGCCCCAGAGAAAGACCAAGTCACCTGAGTCGCTTAAGGTATGTCTACGCTGCACACTCCTTCCGGCAGCATGTAAAGTTCAGGCACTGCACACCCGACTAGCATGGGCATAAATAGCAGTATAGATGGTGAGGCATTGCTTAGGCAAGTGGAACAAAGATACACCATCCCTGAACCCTGTGAGTAAGTACCCGACACGACGCTCTACTCACCAAACAATACCTCTCCCATCTACACAGCTATCTGTAGCAGTCTAGTGTCCTGCTGCATCCCTTCTGCTGGAGTTTTTGCATGCCGCAGGGAAAGGCTCCGGCAGTGGGGAAAGGCTCTGGCAAGGGGAAGGGAGTAGGGAAAGGCTCCAGCAGCTCCTAGCTACCAAGCCTTTCCCCATTGCCTTCCCCCTGTCAGAGCTTTTCACTGATGCACGTAGTTACACACTGCAGTGTGGACAAAGCCTGCTTTTCACTGTGGTAGGCAGCTACACGCATCTACACGTATCCTACCTGCCACCACAAGTGGTGTGCAGTGCAGACATAGTCTGAGGTATTTTTGAAAATATAACCCCTTATCTCTACTTCTGGGAAAGAACCTAAGTTGCTATGCGAGCGTGGATTTCTAGCACTGCCATAGTTATCACCAACAATGATTAATTTAAATCTCTTTTTTTACCCTGTCATTGACGTTGCACTGACTGTGAAGCATATAAGCAGAGCAAAGAAATAATAACTAGATAAATAATGTCAGTGTATACAGGAACATTAAAAAAATGCCTATTTCCAAGCAATTTTTTAAAAAAATACCTTAATACTAATATTTCCAAAAGGAAATTTCTTAAGCATGCTCTATTGCAGCTGTTTATATATATAAATCTGAATAGTCATTGTATGAGTTTCTTTTTAGTTAAAATCTTCACAAGTTCTCTTGTGGTTCCATTAACATCCAACAGGAATGTTAGACAATTAACTAACATGATGTTGGAATAGTCTCCAATAATGGACGTATTAGTGAAGAAAGCTTTTCTAAACTTTATATCACAGCCCCCAGGCTATTGGTACTTATGCAGCGGAATATAATAGTGTACTCAAGAATATTTAACCTAGACACCATTTTGAGATAATCTCTGTGTCAATGTGTTGGCCCTTTTTTAATTACTTAGGGAACATTGTAAATAGCTAGGGCCCAATTCTGCTCTCAGTGGGGGAAATCCACAGTAACTCAATAAGGTTCAGACAGTTACTCCAGATTTTATTGATGTAATTTCTTCAAACATCTAAAATAAAACTAGAGGGCACCTATCCCATAAATTAAAAGTACAACATAATCAAAAGGACTTCCCATAAATGTGGGGCAGAACTTGGCTCATAATATTTTATAGCCCACAGGAATTTAGTTAAGAGCCCAATTCTGCAGTCCTTGAAGGCAATAACTTTCATTGGTTTCAAAAGGTGGTGGACCAGGTCTTGCTCAAGTTAATAGAAGGATCATTCTCAAAGTTATATATATATTTTAGTTAAACCATCTCTGGGCAGGTTGAAGGCTTCAGGAAGTTCTTTGTTTGTACCCTCCTCCATCTCCCCTTCCTCCATGGCCGCCAACAACAACTCATCTCTTTCTGGCAAAGCCCGCCTCCTCTTAGGAGACATTACATCAGAAGATAAGGAAACAAGATGTCTGTCCTCCAGATGTAAATGATTACACTGCCATCACTCTACAGTGGAATTGTCAAAGCCTTATTACATCTTTCGTATCATTTAAAACTAGACATATCAAAACAACAGTAAATGTACAATGGGGAACAATGATATAGTAACAGAGATGGACAAACCAACTCATGGGTATTATCCACCTCTGTCTTCTAGGATTTTATGGTATCATTCCTTATATATAGAAGTAGCTCTACACATCTGTATCTATACGTATAACTAATGAGAGGTCTGCCTGTAATAAATGCAGGATTGGACAGTATATAAATTTACAGGCGAGTCAGATTCAGCTGTCATATATATTTGTACAGTATAGCTGTATTTTTGAGTGTGCGCATGTATATATAGTCACACATATAGCCATATCCACATACTTATGCATGAAATACTTAGCAAACATTAACAGTGATTTAAAATATTCAGCATGAAAAGTCTTAAAATGTGGGGAAATAACTCAATAAATTACTATCTTTCAGCATTTAAATGATTTGCTCCAACACCAAAATAAATTGCAAGCAGGCTATCTCCTAACCAGGCTGTGCAATATTCCCCTTAAACACAAATTATCAAATGTATATTTTGTTGTATATGAAACAATACATTTCAGCTAATTTTCCCATATTGATTCAGCTCGAAATTATGTATTCATATAAGTGTGCTTATCTCTTGTGCAAAACATGTTAAAAGAATAAAGTCAGACACTAATATATACTTAGAAAGACCTGTGCGAGTTAAAATGTGCATTCTCACAATAGGACAAATCCTGCCCTGTGTTACATTGGCTATCCCAGCATAACTACACTGATTTCCATGGATTTAATCCAAATTTACACCAGCGTAAACTGGAGAAGAATTTAGGCCATGAATATTACCTAGTGTCATCCCACACCCAGTCTCCCAAGTAGTGAAAGATACCTGTCTTCCTTACCTGTTCAGCTGCTACAGGATCTATTTGACTCTGAAATAATGGCACAGCAAATTGGATCTTTTTAGGACTGTTTGGCTCCATAATAATGATGAGGAGACTCAGAAGAGAAAAGAGCTCAGACTACAAGAAATCAGAGAGTCACCTCAGTGATTATTCCCTGGTGCACTCCCTAAAGCCACACTGAATACTTCCTAATAACAGCTGTAACTCCCGAGTTAGCAAGTGAATCTGCAGGAGCTGAGCAATCCCTTATTCCATATCCACAGTGATGCCTCTGGCTGGCTCTGTTTCCCCCCACCCCCTTTCCAATCCTTCAGATCCTCTCCGCACAAAGCTGAAAGGAACAATAAGCTAATTGTGTACCAGGTCACTTCTACATATGCCAAGCATTCACTCAGAAGCTAATTGAAAATGCAATACTAGCCTTGCATGGCCTAGTGCCCTGGGATTTGAAAAAGAGGATCTACCCACTGTACATTACTAACTGGCTGCTCAGAAGTGCAGCGTAAGCTCCCTTGGAGTATTGCTGATGGGCCCTTAATTATTGATGAACACAAATCCGGAAGTTTTGTGATTTTGGGGGTGGAGGCAGCAGTAGAGCTGGGTGGAATTTAATAATTCCGTCTCTTTTATAGTATTTACAGAATGCCTCCCTCCTCTTGTGCATCCAACAGCTCCCCTTGCTTCTTTCAAAGCCCTCTTTAAAACATGCTTCTTCCAGGAAGCTTTTCAGTGACAATTCTACATAAACAGCTCCACTTCTTTGATCCTGATCCATTAGCTGATGAATTATGTGGGCCAGCCCTATATTGTCAGTCTCAGCTTTCGGACTGTACACTCTTTGGAGCAAGGACTGTGCCTTCCTCTAAGTTTACAGAGCATCTAGCAGGAGCTTGATAAATAATTGCAATAATAATACCTTGTGAATCTAATTTGTTTTTACTCCGCATTTCACCGGCATACAAAAACAGTAGAGGAGGAGCATATTCAGAAATCAGTGACCAGAGCTATCTGCTTTGCTTGGATTATGTGACCTCTGAATGGAGGCGTGCTGTAGCTGTTGCAACAACGTTTCCTGGGCTAAAAACTGCAGCTATGGCCAGAGACTCCCACTGACAGTTCATGGAGCAAAGGAGTGGGTGTGAGCCTGCAGCTGAAAATGATGCAGTCGGTCTCCTGTGGCGTGTAGCCACCAACTAGGGAGAAAGAGAGAGAGTGAGATGAGGAATGAACAACAGTTTAAAGAAGACATAGGCTCAGAGATATACTGGAACAACTTTAGGTAGGATGAAGATTAATGTAGTTTAGGGCTTGAGAATGAATGAAGGACAGTTAGATTAGGTACATGGAGTGACTGTGAATGATTTGGATAAGGAAGGAGAGTGACTGCAAGATGAAGTGAGGAAACAATTTAGTTCAAGCCAAGGACTAAAGGAATTTAATTTTTAACCAAAGGTAGGTCTGTACTGCAAAGTTCAGATCTGAATTTCCCCCGAGTTTAACAGCATTCAAATCTGAGGTAATGGACTGAAATAGAGAGGGGGGAAGCTGTAGAGTTCAGCTGCATTTGAACATCACCAAAATTCAGAGGTGCTTGGAGCTGTGACTGAGTTTTAACACCACGGCTGGGATTTTCAAAAGTATGCTTCATTAGCCTAACTCTATTCCCATGTAAGTCAATGGGCATGTTACTATTGATTTCAATGGAGCAGAGTTAGAACATATAGAAAATACAAACAGAACTAGAGGTAACCAAAAACCATACTATCCTTAAACACAATCGTAAATCAGAAAGTCAGGAATGGACCATCTGTTTGGCTTAGACGTATATAAGTGACAATGCAGTAACTTCATGCTGTGGCCATGGATTTGGATGTTTACCTCAAGCAGGAAAGTAATGATGGAGGGCCCAGTGGGTAGGGCATTAGTTTATATCTGGGTTCAATTCCCTGCTCTGCCACAGTCTTCTTGCATGACCTTGGGCAAGCCACTTAGTCTCTCCATGCCTTGGTTTTCCATCTCAAAAATGGGGATAACGGTACTTCCCTTCCTCAGAGTGTTTGATTTCAAGCCTAGATACCTTGGTGGATCTGGGTCATAAGCCCATAGAATGTGAACAAGAACTAGCCAACCAAACATCGGAGAGAGAATGCTCAGTATCACCTCAGAGCCCTGACCCTCCCCGTCCAGTGTCCCATCTCCATCTGAGGCCATCTCTTAATGCTTCATAGGAAGGAGACAAAAAACCCAGAATACACTGGGGGAAAAACTTCCTCACTTACCCCTGAAGGTGACCTGTGAAGCCCTGACTCATAAGATTTTAGGAATATTAGACATGAACGAGAAGGAACACCCAGGGTTGCCCATCCCTTCCCCCACCATCACAAGCAACACCATCACACAATCCCACTCATAAATTTTCCATCGCTTTCTTAAATCTAAGTAAGTTGTTTGCCCCCAAAACTTCTTTGGGGAGACTGTTCTATTTTGGGAAGTTCTATGACATGTGTTATACAGGAGGCCAAACCAGATGATCACAATGGTCCCACTTGACTTTGAATCTATTAAGCCTCACTCTCTGAGGGCTAGAAATCTTCTTCTAATTTCCAACCTGAACTTATTGATGACCTTCAATAAATACCCATGTGTTTTTTTGCCAACATTGTCCTTTAACTTAAATAGCTTTTCACCCTTCTCTGGTGTTTACACACACACACACACTTACTTCTTTACAGAGAGCAATCCAATTCCCTCTGAGCCTAGGCTAAACAAGGCAAATTCTTCCCCTTTCCTCTCATAATATAGACCCCCACCACATTCAACTAACCATCCTAATAGCTCTTCTCTGTACTTGTTCCATTTGAATTCATCTTTCTTGAACATGTACACAGTATTGCAAATGAGGTCATGCCAGTGCCTTGTATTAAGGCATTAATACTTCTCTATCTCTTATATATGCCTTTCCTTAATCATGCTAGGATTGCATTTGCCTTTTTTGCAGCTGCATCACACAGGTGGCTCAAAGTCATTCTGTGATTAACCAACACACCCCGATATCTGATAAACCACTATTTCATTTTGAAAACTCTGGCATAGTAAAAACAATGTTTAAGTGAGATCTAGTATCTTCTAACATCTGCTAGGGGCCACTGCTGGAGGCCAGTCTGATTCAATATGGCAATTTCTATGTTCACTTTAAAAAAAGGTCAATCGGTCACATATGTGAGACTGAAGGAGAGGTGATGAACAGAGCCTGAGGTCTGTGTTCATCTCTCCTGGGGAAGTAAATGTGTCCAGTACATTTCTGGGGGTTTGACCACTTCTCAAAATGATTAGTATCTAAATGACTCAACCCTCTTACCTAAGTATGACACTGCCACTTTCCCTATCAGACCCCTTCAGTAATTTTCCAGTGTAGTGCTCTGTCTCTCTGAACCTATTCTTAGGATCTAGGTTTATCGCATATTGTAGCATAAGGTGTTATGAATTGGGAGTTTAAATGGACCTTAGTGGGGTTTTCAAGAAGTAGAACATACAATAATAGCCCTATACCCAGATAGCAGAGTGTTGATCAAAAGGAAACATTCATACCAGTAGGGAGACCTGACTCTGAGCTCTTATATACCTGTGTAACTCCTCGGCTTCATCAGTGTTACCCGTAATTTATAGCACTGTCAGTGAGATCACAGGCAGGTGCTTAGTCCACAAAGAGGACTTGCATTTTCTATGGCCTGCATGGTATCCTGGATTAGAGCTGAAAGTATACCTAAGCACTGCCCAATCTTTTAGCTCAGCAGCTGATTGCTGTTTTTAGTATTCAAGCTGTACTTTACTGTTTTAGTTTCCTTCATGATTCAGCTAAAACTGCCAATAAAAGAAAAAACAAATTTCAATAATCAAAAATCACCATTTAGTTTAAGGATATTTCCCAATCTGTGCTATCTCTTATACTGAAGCTGTGAACCTGCATACTGGATGTGACTTTTTTGTGCCCCTTACTGTAATCAAGCTATCAAAGTTGGATAGCTCTATGGATCTTTATGATTTTCATTTGACATGTTTTTATTCTTTTGGGAGACGTAGTTGCATTAGCCATAGATTTAGGCCCCTCCATATTATTAAAAATGAAACTCAGCAAAAATTAACTTTAAACATTGCAACCCTAAAGGGGTTTGTCCTCTCGTCTCTTTTCAGACCCTTCCTCTGACCTTTATCCTATCTTCTCAGCTTGAGCCTTCTCTGACTCAAGATTTTTAGACACCAGATTGGTAAAGTGAAAAAGCAAGGACCACTTTGAAAATTACAGTCCTCAAGGCTTCACCTCCAGGGAGCATGATCCAATTTCTCTGAAGCCAATGCAGGGAAGTATAAATTACACTTCTGTGAACCTCCAAGGTCTTTTGTACTGCTGGGAGGATTCAGCTTGAGGGACTGCAGGTGTTGTTTACACTGTACCTTCTCTCAGGGTTCCTGTCAGAGGACAGCTTTGTAGCTTGGTAGCAGCTCCATTAGTGGGAGCCCTTGTAAAGAGGTGGTGAATCAGTTTCCTTGTCAGGTACTCTGGCCATTCTCTCGTCATACCTAGAACTATCCACTTCGGGTCCATGATAGACCCTTAATGCAGTTCCCAAGTGCATGGAAAGCTGTAGCCATTTTGCACAGCTGCAAGCTCCCACAATAGGAGGTTTGGGGGCATTCGGCTAGGGCTTATACTGGCTTTGTAAAGCCTTATGCTTTCTCTCCCCTTGTGTCCTTTTATTCTAATGTTCCATCCAAACATTGTATTAGCAAATAAGGAAATGTTCCTGTGATATGAGTCTGGAGTCTTACTTTAATGCCCAGTGCATGGATAGCCACAGCACAACCCCCTCCTCTGTTGGCTATGTCCTGAACATGGAGAATAAATTACTTATTCACCCCTACAGATGATCCCTCTAGGCGTGGGGACACGTTGGCAGCATGGGTGCAGGAAAGCCTGCTTTGCTGCTACCTATGCTGTACCTGGCCGGTGAATAAACAGATTTCATACTCCAGGACTCTCAATCTGGCATTTTTATAATCACTAAACAGACACAAATATATTAAAAAAAAAAAAGAAAGAAAAGAAGCTGAGCACTCAGACTTGTTTCCAATCACACTTTGGAAACACCGTGGGGGAAAAAAAAAAAGGATTTAAACTCTGACAAAGTGAGAATGTAGAGCAGATGGCGTCTGTTTTGGCAGCAATAAATGCTGCAGCAGGCCGGCAAAGTTGTAGGACAGAAATCTGTATTGAGCATACACAGAGGCCAGTGTTACGTGCCAAGAGGCTTTTGTTTGTCCAGTAGCAGCTTGGTCGGGTCTCTCCTGAAACATGTCTTTCCTTCTCCAGTATTTCTCCATTATACTA